CATCCAGACTGATATATTGTCTGTACTGTGCAAGTAACAGAGACATGGTCATTCTGATAAGACTTTTTAAAGTTTCTGATAAGATTAATAAGACTTTTTAAAGCCCTACATTAGGAACAGCAAACCTATGAATTGTTCTTTGCACTGCTACTACTTTCTGTTATGGACATATCAAGATTATTGTTGCTCTTTTAAGGTGGTCTGGAACTTGAGATCTTTCTGCCTCAGCCTCCCAAATAACTAGAACTACAGGAATGTACCAACATGCCTGGCTTACAGACTACCTTCTTAACCAGAAGGCAGGTGTGTGTGTGTGAGGAGAGGTTAATGTTTAGAATTTATAAATGTTTCAGGGGAAAAAAAAAATCTAAATAGTTTATCACTATTATAAACCTTCCATCCAAGAGTACATCAGACTTCTGTTTCTTTTAGCCCCAACTACATTTATGTTCACACTGAACAACTACAAACAATTAACAAAAATAAAGGCATTTTCAGATACACTGGTATAGTTTACAAAAAACACTGGCTATAGGAGTTGACTAGGGGTTATCAATTAAAAATTCCCAAGCCACATTTCAGATCTACTAATAAAATCTTAAGGGATAAACCAAGAAGTCTGAATTTTATAAGCACCCTGAGTAATTTCTACACTCAGGCAAAGTTGAAGAAATACTGTAACACCCCATGGAAGGACAGTAAACTAGAAATCCACTGACTGATCCTAATCAGTTCCTTCCTTAGTACACTTCAGCTCATCACTACTAACACAATGCTAGTTAGCATTCCTGAGGACTTGCTGTATGCTGTACCTGTCCTAAGCACAGTGTAGATATTATTTCAATTCATGTTAACAATACTCTTTTGGGGTAGATACCACTTGTTATGGTTTATATCTGGATTCTCCCCAGAGCCTCATACATTCATAGGTGCAGCTTTGGGGAGGTACTGGATCACGGAACCATGACACTTACCACTAGATTAATCCACTACTGAGCTTATGGCTAAACGTGATGCTGGAGGATGAAGTCTGGTCAGAGCAGGTGGGTCACTGGGGGCATGACCCAGAAGGATGTATCTCTTCCCATCACTCTCTCGCTATTCCTGCTGCCATGTCATGAAGGAACTTTTTCTCTGCCATGCCACCCTGCCTTCTTGGAGCCAAATGACTATGGAGTGAAATTCCTACAAACTGTGAGCCAAATTAAACATGTTTCTTCCTTTAAGTTGTGGTGTCAGGTACTGTCTCAACAACAAAAAGTAACTAAGACATGACTTTTATGTCATGTTTGCAGACAGGGAAAACTGATCCTTTACATAATTTACCTCAAGGTCACATAGTTCTATGTTTTGCTGATTCAAAAACTACACCTACACTGTACAATTCTAGCATCAAGTAAGAAAAAGTAAATAGAAATCTTCTCTCACTGACCAGATTTCCTGATTTCATTTTAGTTTTTAAAATCTGCTTATTACTCAACTCTTCTGCAGAGTTTAAAACTAAAACAACAGTAACAACTATTCTAGATATAAAAACACCACTCAATTTCTTTGAAAAAAGAAACGAGCTACTACATCTTGAGTTATTACTTACATGACCTTAAATACAGTGGGGTTTTTGACCTGGGCTAAGATGCTGATAATGATTAAAGTGAACATTTGGGCAGTCTGTTTAGTGACTAAGCTTCTATTTGGTTCTAAGGGGGACAGAAAGGCACCAGATTAGCCATTAGAACACTTACCTTATGCTCAAACTTTAAGAGTAGCTAAGTCCATAAACTGACAATCACAAATAATTTCTATTAACTTTTTGTTATGACACAGTAAGTATATTCAGCTTTACAAGATACATTCCTTCTATGAATAATGTTCAGTTTATTATTCACATTCCTACATTGTCAGATTTAAAGAAAAAAATACTTAGAGTGAAAAAATGGCTTCATTAGAAAATGTCAAATGGCACAAAGCTAAATAGTGGTGACTATTTCCTATGTCCTAAACAAAAATTTACACACAATTTACGGCCCAATATGCACATGTACTCTCTAATGTATGGTAGAGCCTAAAGGAAGTATTATACACATATACCAAGAAATTATTACACACATATACCAAGAGATACAAAAAATGTTGACAGCATCATTTGAAATACCACCTTAAACATCCAGCAAGACAATGAGTAAACTGTGATATATTTGTACAGTGGAATACTAAGCAGCAATGGGGGAAAAAAAAAAAAAATCAATGAATCAGACCCACACCTAACAAGCATACAGCCAGCCAGGTGTGGTGGCATATCGGTAATTCCAGAACTCAGCAGGCTGAGGCAAGAGTATCATGCAAGGCCAGCCTGGGCCACATAGTGAGTTTAAGATCAGCCTGAAGTACAGAGCAAGACCCTGTCTCAAAAACACAAAACAGAAAGCACAAAGCTCATAAAATGTTGAACTAGAAAGGCCCAGTACTAACCTCACCCCTCAAAAGAATAAGTAAGTTGCAAATGATTACCTGAAATGTGGTACCAATTGGTTTTTTGTTAAATTAATCCCAGGGTCTCTCATACAGGAGGCTAGTGCTCTACCCAATTAGATTTAGAATGTGCTTATTATAGATACATAACAAATGGAAG